CCCTTTCTTCAACTTGTGCAAATCCAAACATCTCAATCAATCTTTAACATCTCACCCAATCTCTACTCTTGCTGGTTTCTTCATCATCAACGAATAACAAAACCCACAAAAAAAATTTTTAATTTTTTGCCACTAGGTAGAACCCAACGCCTGGGTTCCTTGGAACCCCAACACCTGGGTTCAAAAGAACTCGCACGTGGGTTCCAACAAACCCAAGTGTACTGGGTGCGAAGGAACCCAGTGCATGGGTTCTTGGTTGTCATCTTCAGCAACAAAAATAATCTTCAAGAGAGTGATCCCATCGGAGGTGGAAGCGGCAGTGAGGTTGTGAGAAGGGTGAGCGAGAGTAGCGATAGTAGATGCAGGAGGCAAGGAGGATGGTGGAGAGGAGGATGAGGCAACCAAGGGCGATGGCAATGGAGTAACTAAGGCCTAGGTTGGTTATTATTATTATTATTATTATTTTGCTTCTTCTTGATCTCCCAATGCTTGTTCCATGTTTAATTTCCATGATTTATTCGACATAAAAATGCAATTTTATTTACATCATGTACAATATACATGATATCCACAAGAATCGAATCTCTCAATTTAAGCAGATTTAGAAAACACTTTTTCATCTCTTTTGTTAGAGGTCAAGGATTTTGTCTCTCTTTGATGGGGGTGGGTTTTTTGTGCGATGAGGATTTTGGTTTTGCGAGGATTTTGGGGTTTCCTGCAGATTCATTGAGTCTTGGTGCGAGAAGGGGAGCATACAGGGATGATGGAGGCGGTGACCAAGTTTCTAGCCATGAAAGATTTTGATCTAGTGGTGGAAGTGGTGGGGGTCGGGGAAAAGGAGTGATGTATCTTAGCTTATTGATTTGTTTTGCTTTATATGGCAAGGCGGCATGGCTATCTTGCCCTGTCAACGATGGGTGAGGAGGAAGGGGTTTGGTTGGCTTCAAGAGGAATTGGGAATTGTTTTGTCAATGGTGGCTAAAAGGTGGTCGGCGATGGCGATACCTTTTTTTTGACAGGGGCTTGCGTTTCTCAGTGGGATTGCTTGAATCGAATTTTTCGGTGATTGGATGGAACCCAACACACTTGGGTTCCTTCAAACCCAATGGCAAAAAATTGAAAAAAAAAAAAAAATCTTTTATGTTTGTAGGTTTTGTTGTTTAATGATGATGAAGAAACCAAAAAGGTAGAGATTGGTTGAGATGTTAGAGATTGGTTGAGTTGTTTGGGTTTGCAAACGTTGAAGAAAGGGAAAGAAGAAAGGGAGGAACGTAAAAAAAAATAATAAAAATAAAAATTGTTAGAAAGGGTTCAAGCTGGACTTGCCAACATGTAAAAAGAGTCTAAGCTGGCGTTGATATGTAAATGTATGATGAAAACTAACAGTGCACGTGCAGCACGTAACTTTTTGATGTTAAATTTTGCCTTATTTCCCTCAACTCGAAAATGTGAAGGGTAAAAATTCATATATTGTAATATGATGGTTAAATGCTAAATTTAGTCCCTCAACTTTACAAAATGCTCATTTTTGATCCCTTAACAATTTTTTGCATTTTTTTTTGATCTCTTGACTCTAAAAATTGCATAGTTTTTGGTCCCTCCATCAGTTAAGTATGATGTGGCAGTTAAATAATTTCATGTGGCATTGTTTTTCAATTTTTTTGATGATGTGGCACTAATATATATTATAATTATGTTATATAAATAAATAAAAATACCACATGGATTAATATACATATTTTAATTAAAAACATAGAAAATTACTTTATTACCCTCCTCCTCACCCTCCCAATCCCTCTTCTTCCCCTTTATTCTTTCTCTTTCTTTCTTTCGGGTTCGGTGGAAACCCAGCCTTGCTGGGTTCCCGACCAGCCAAGGTTGGGTTCACCGGAACCCAACCTTGGCTGGGTTCCGTCGAACCCAGCTTTGCTGGGTTTCAACCGAACCCAGCTTTGCTGGGAAGCTGGGTTCTTGTTTTTTTGTTCTTCTTTCAATTTTCATTTCCAGTTGTTTATAAATTTGGAGATTGATTTATAATTTGATTGTATTTTTGTTGGAATTTTATTAAAGTTTGATTGTATTTTTGTTGAAATTCGATTAGAGTTTGATTGGTATTATTTATTGAAGTATTATTTTGATTTGGTAAGATCTGCCAGGTTTGAGGTTTCAATGAAACCCAGTAGCTCAAGTTTCCCAGAGAAAAGAGAAGAAGAAGAAATGGGTGGTTTAACATCGGTTTTGTAGATGGAGTGGAGATGAGAGAGCATTCACAGAAGAAGAAGAAATGGGTTAAGATCAATTTTGCAAATGGAGTGGAGATGAGAAAGCATTCAGAGAATAAAAAGAAATGAGTTAAGATCGATTTTGTAGAGGGTGAAGATGAGAGACCAGTTTGCAAGCAACTGGGCTTCATTGGAGAGGTTTGGCGTGAAGAAGATTGGCATGAAGAAGATTGGCGTGAAGAAGATGACATGTCATAAAAAAAAAAAAGTCCGAATAAACGTCTTTTTAAGTTGTGCTCGTCATGTCATAAAAAAAATATAAAAAATGCCATGTGGCCGAGTTAACGGCCCAAATTGACAGAAGGACTAACGGAGTGCATTTTGTATAGTTGAGGGATCAAAAAAGTGCAAAAAATTGTTGAGGGATCAAAAATGTGCAACTCACTAAAGTTTAGGGACCAAATTTAGCATTTAACCTAATATGATGGGTAAAATGCCTCGAATTCGAAAAGTTGAAGGGCAAATGGAGGGCTTTTGCCGAAAAAGGCAAGCCCGCCTTAGTTCCTGTTGTAACGTGACTAACGTCATCGCGTGTACGTCACCACCCTCACCTACCAGATATCGTTGTCGTCGCTTTCACATTACGTCATCTTACTGACGTTAGCAGCTGTCACCTGTATCCAATAACTATCTCAACTACCTCTAATGCCCACAACAAACTTTGAAGATGTCAAAATTACAACAAAAAATAACACACTGTAAATTGGCAGAAACTTTAACTCCACTCTTAAAAAAAAAAATTGTTAGGGATATATTTATCTCTTAAAAAATATTAAAATAAATTATTAAGATAAATTATTTATTTTTTAATATTTTTTGTTAAAAAATATTTACGTGATAAACATAATTTTTATGTTTTTTTTGTTAAAAAATAAGTGATTTATCTTAATTTATAATTTAAAAATATAATTTATCCTTACATTTTTTAAAGGGTAGATATATCCTTATTAATCTTTTTTAATGGTAGATTTGGAGGTTTTGACCTGTAAATTCTATAGAATTGTTACTATGCATCTAGATTTAATGGAAAAATATAAAAAAAATGATATATGGAAAATTTTTATGATTTTTATGAAAATTAATAAATTTGCTTAATTAAAATGACAAATGAGGCTCATAATATACATTCAATTAAAAAACATATAAATGGAACACTAAAAACTTGGTTTTAACTTTTAACTATTATTGTTCTTTTAAAGGATTAACGCCAATAATAAAATCAAACACCACAGCCATGATGAATGAAATCATAATATATTTTTTAGAAAAAACCAAAAAAAGGAAATAATAAAATTTTGAAATATAGATTAACAAAGAATTGAAAGAACATACAAAATATTGAATAATTTTTATTCAAAATAACCTTTGCTCAGTCTTAAAACAATTAAAATTTTTTATTGAAAATAAAATAATTAATATTTTGATTAAAAAAATTATTCTAAATTGATTGTTATTTGTTTTCTATTCTGGCTTTACAATTTTTTACATTATCTTAAAATTTAGGTTAAATGTTAATTTTAGTTTTTCAACTTTAAGATTTTGCACAATTTTCATCTTTTAACTTTTTTTTGCATTATTTTTTATCCCTTAACTACGAAAAGTGCATTTTTTTAGTCTTCTGTCAGTTAAACTGTTAAATCTATTTAAATCTGTATATTTTTAGTTTCTCAACTTTAGAACAAAAAATGTACATATATTAAAAGTTGAAGGACTAAAAATGTGCAGATTTAGATAGATTTAACGGATTAACTAACCAAATGACTAAAAAAGTATATTTTTTATGATTAAGTAATTAAAAAAGTGCAAAAAAATTGAGAAATGAAAATTATGTAAAATATTAAGTTAAGGGACCAAAATTGACATTTAACTTAAAATTTATTAATAATTTATTGACCTAAATAAAAAAATTAATTTTTTAAAATAAGGTCAATGAAATTTAATAAATAATGGTAATAAATGTCTAGTGGGAGCAAGCTGGAATTAATGAAAAGAGGAAAAAGAAGTGAAGCGGAAAGGACTCGTCAATTCACGGGCTTCACTCGCTCTCTCCCTCTCTCGTCCATGTTCGTCGATATAAGACGCATCTTTCCCGTTCAGCTGTACGTGTGCAATCCTAACTCCCTTTAGCAACCTAATAAACCATGTTTCCCTCCTCCTTCCTCCTCCTCCTCCTCCTCCACTTCCCTTCGGTTTACAGTCGCTTCCTCTCCACCTCGGACCTCGTCTCCGATGGAGTCCATTACCAGATTGGCTCTCCTTTCCTTCTCCTCAATCCATTTGCTGCGAATGAATCGTCCTGTGACCAGACCTACGGATTCATGCCGTGCACTACCACCGCACTCGGGAATCTCTTCTTAATAATCGTTTATGGATACCTCATGTACTTGGCCGCCATATACTTATCTGATGGGAGTGAGCTGCTGCTGAAGATTCTCGGTTCTGGTATCATCGGAGGCCTTTTCCTTCCCATACTCGGGACTCTTCCCGACGCCCTGCCCATTCTCGGTACTTAAAACATGGATTCATATTTCTTTTTCTCTTAAAAAATTATATTATTGGATCTTGCGCTTGCTTATATTGTTTGGTTAGCTAAAAAAACTGAAAAAAAGAGGGGTTAAAGCCAACTATAGTCCCTATACTTTCTTTTTCGTTCATTTCCCTCCCTATACTTTGAAATTGTTCAAAAACCGCTCCCTACTCTCCCAAAGCAAACTATTGTCCTCCCTCTACTTTCAATTTTCATATTAGTTACCTCCCTGACCTAACGCCATTACTAACACCAACATCGTTACTATTTGCCATCCAACCTCCACCCATTTATTAATTTATGGTTAAAGCCAACTATAGTCCCTCTACTTTGCTTTTTCATTCATTGTTCTCCCTACACTTTGAAATCATTCAAAGACCTCCCCTAATCTTCCAAAACATACTACGTACTGTCTTCTCTCTACTTTCAATTTTCATAACACCATTACCAATTATTTGCCATCAAACCCCCACTCATTCATTAATTTATTATTTTTTGATGAATTTCAATTGTAAGTCCTACAAGTTCCATGTCACCCACCATGTCACTAACCTAAATATGCCTCCAAACTTACAAAAATAATACATTTACAATTTATTTTTACCACTATAGAAGTTACACCTTTAGGATTGTCTGCCAAAGGATTAATTTGAATGTATATAAAAATTGATTTTGAAATACCATAATTATAAAAAAATAAAAAAAATAATTCTTGAAATAGACTATCATATATTGATTAATGGATTTATTTTTTAATTACGTTAATCAAATTTAATTTTTTATAAATAAGACAATAAGACAAATCATAAAAACATCCATTAATTTATACATTATAATAATCGGATAAAGTCAAACAAGTAAAACTAAGCATTCAGTTTGGATTATCCAAATTGAACTAAATTTTTGGTTATCTAAAATAATTTTGTATAAAACTACTATACCTAATTCGAACCAAATTTTTAATTCAGTTATAATTTTGGTTATTCGAAATTATTTGGATAATTTGATTAATTAACCAAAATAACCAAAATATATCATTATTCTTTACTTTTTGTCATTAAAAGCTTTTTTTTTTTTTGTAATTTTGATTATTTCTAGTCTATTTTGTTCATATTCCTATATATAAATTTGATTAAAAAAAGATTTTTATCCAAAAAAATTTCACACAGCACCAAAACTAAAATAAAAAAATAAAATAAATTTATACTAAAAAATTTTAGATAATTTCGAATAATTTGGTGTCTCATATCAATTTATAGCTACATGTTTTTTTTTTTTTTTTTTGCTAGCATTGGATCTGAATATTTTGATATCTCTTAAACAAAATAATTGCACCTAAGTCAACCAATGATGTCAAACTAATAAATGCTAAGAAAATTTTGAATAACAAGAAGATAGTTGGCCAGTGGAAAGTATCATTTGGCGAACTACCAAAAGGGGTTATCACCATGCATGTTGTGGTGCAGCCAATTTTAGCAAAAGCAAAAAGAGATATTCTTATACTAATTGCTCTAGAATGCCTACTTTGATTTTGGTGATTAACTAATATTCTAGAGTTTTATTTTGCTAAATCTTAAATGGTTAAATGTCCAATTTTGGTCCCTCAACTTTAAAGTTTTGCACAATTTTCATCTCTCAACTTTTTTTACACTTTTTTGGTTCATTAACTATGAAAAATGTGTTTTTTTAGTCATTTCGTCAGTTAATATGTTAAGCCTATTTGAATATACACATTTTTAGTCCCTCAACTTCTAATATATGCATATTTTTCATCCCTCAACTTAAAATTGAGGGATTAAAAAAGTGCATATTTAGATAAATTTAATGGATTAACTGACGAAAGACTAAAAAAGTTCATTTTTCATAGTTAAGGGACCAAAAAAGTGCAAAAAAAAGTTGAAGGATGAAAATTGTGCAAAATCTTAAGTTGAGGGACTAAAATTAGCATTTAACCATCTTAAATTTGGTTATTGTGTTATCTTAGAAAAAAAATGGATGAACCCCCAGGAAAAACTTGTGTTTGTGTTTGTGTTTGATGTTGCACGTGTATTTGATCCTTTAGTAGATAATATTAATTATAATGAAGATTAATTATAATTAATTATAATTAATTATAATTAATTTTTATATACCTTCAAATTAAATTTTTTTATTCATTGGTAGAATAAATTTGTATATATTATTTTCATAAGTCTGGGGGCAAATTTAGATTGGTGATATGATGGGTGACATGGTAGGTGATATGGAACATATGGAGTCATAATTGAAATTCATTAAAAAAAATAATAAATTAATAAATGGGTGGAGGTTGGATGGCAAATAGTAATGGTAGTGGTGTTAGTAATGGCGTTAGGTGAGGGAGGTAACTAATATGAGGATTGAAAGTAGAGGGAGGACAATAGTATGTTTTGGGAGAGTAGAGGGAGGTCTTTAAATGGTTTCAAAGAACAGGTAGGACAATGAATGAAAAAGGAA